TTCAGGTCTTTTAGTCACTGAGAACCCAAACCACCCAGATTCCTCTGTGTTTATTACTAAAATTTCATATTTTTTTGTATTTTTGTACAATATTACAAAAAAAATTAAAAATGACCATGTAAACAGGCTTGGAGTGGATTTAGGAAGGAAAATAGGAGCAAATTATGAGGACCACCTCTAGCAGCTCAGGGTTTGAGGTAGGGCCTACCGAGTCAGAGGACTGTCACTCAACTTGAAATTTCTGTCTGAGGGAGTAAAACGTAATTCTCAGGGGCCGGCAAGGTGGAGGGGCTAAAAAAATAAATAAATAAAATTTTAAAAAAAGATTCTAAATCTTACGCTCAGGCTTAAATCTTTTAAAGTTAAAAACCTTTGTTTAAGTGGATCTTGTTTGTTTTTTAATTTTGTGCTTGCACTTGGTCTATTAAATGACCAGACTCTGGTGAGGGAGGACATTTCATTAGGTAAGCTTTTGAAAGCCCATCCTGTGTGGAAGGCATTATTTTACAAAGTATTCCAAGTTTCTGGGGCATAGCTAGTAGCCTAAAGTATATGTCAAAAGAAAGGTTCTAGAAACAAATCACTGGTAAGGTTCAGATGTTCTTCTAGCATCAGGTCCAGGTTATGCTTTTGTCTTTCCAGAAAATAAAAGAAGTCTGAGATGCATCCAAACAGGACAGCATCCTGGAGACCAACAGACAAATGAATCATCTAAAAATAAGTGACAGACCCATCAAGAGGGAGAGGAAGCCAATAACTTGGGGAGATATCAAGATTTTATTTAACTTACCAAGCCCAACAAGTATACAATACTACTGACCTAAAAATGATGTTGTTATGTTACTGACTGCATTACCTGCTAACCCTGTTCATTCTCAGCTTGTTAATGCAGAATCCAAATGCCTTTTTGTCGGCAGTGGAGGGGGCAGGTGGATAAAAAAGACACCTATATTAGGAGACAGTATGATATTGTTTGGTCATGCTAAGGATTGTTTTTGGCTGATTATTGCCAATCCCAGAAATGGTTACTGATATACAAAACAGAGTTCTCAAAGATGGCCTGTATGATTAGTAAAACTACTAATATTATACCAGGCATTGGTGAGTTTGAGGCCAGCCTGGTCTATAAATCGAGTTCTAGGACAACCATAGCAGTTACACAGAGAAACAAAGAAAGAAAGGGAGGGAGAGAGGGAGGGAGGGAGGAAGGAAGGAAGGAAGGAAGGAAGGAAGGACTACTAATATTACAGCAAAAATATCAACAAATTAATCAAGAGATGGGTGATTTCCTAATATGTGTTGTTTTAATAGGTCAGATTTTTCTCATAATATGGAGGATCAAAGCAATGATTTGCATAAAGAGATAGGCAAAAATCTCTCAAGTGACCTTTGAATGGCCATTATGGTTAATGTGACTTTCCGCTTTTCTTGGTCCTCTGTTAGCTATTCTTAAAATTCTCTTATGCTTGCCTATATGAATTAGACTAGCCATAGAGGCAGTCAGTGCATTTAGCCATGGCCTCTATTATGGTCACTGTTTTTTCTTTAAAAACATAGAAGGGGCTGATGTAGAGGGCAGGAGGTCTTTGTGTCCATAGATAAGCACTAAGGGAACCAGGATTATTAAACATGCAGGGTTGTCACTTGAATGAAAGAAGTGTATAACCTGTTTTCTGCCCAGAAGGCTGGGATTGGGTGAAGTTAATAGCCTGGTGACCTGTGCTATCTGTAGGGCCAGGCCACACCTGGCTTTTATGTTTCTCAGAGACACTTCCTCCCTAGACCTTTATCTTGAACATTTTTCCCAATCTGTAGAACCTATCTTGGGGCTGGAGAGATAGCTCAGAGGTTAAGAGCACTGGTTGCTCTTCCAGAGATCCTGAGTTCAATACCAGCAACCACATGGTGACTCACAACCATTTGTAATGAGATCTGGTGCCCTCTTCTGGCCTGCAGGCATACATGGAGGCAGAATGTTGTATGTTGTATGCATAAGTAAATCTTTAAAAAGAAAAGAAAAAACCCATCTTTATGGAGCAGAGCTGCCCCACAGATAGTACTCTTATTTTTTTAGAACTAAAAACCTTGAGAATAAAAAGGTTGTTATTTCATTTATTTCATCTAAGTAACTCTGTAAGCACACATGGCCAGAACTGAGAGTCAGTCCTGGGTCTCTTTCACTGTTAGCCTTTGTTCTCTGTTACACCCACTCCACAGTGTGTTTATAAAGGCATCTTAAAGGCTAGTGTTTGTTTTGATGAGTGCTGTGCTCATTATGCAAGCATGATCTTGCTCTGATCTCCGTGTGGGGGGTATCCAGTGAACCGGCTCTTTCTGCCATGCAAGCTTGTTTTACCTTGGATCAGTTTCAAAGAGTATCCAAATCATAGTCTTGTTTTACTTTCAAAAAATAGTTCTGACTAAATAGATTTACAGTCACAACCATTTTCATAAACCTGGCACCAATTTATTTTTAATATAACTTTGTTTTGTTTTGTTTGAGACAGGGTTTCTCTGTGTAACCGCTCTGGCTGTCCTGAATCGCTCTGTAGATCAAGTTGGCCTCAAACTCGCAGAGATCCACCTGTCTCTTGCCTTCTAGTGCTGGGGTTAAAGGCGTGCCCACCTTAGTATAACTTTTAAACTTTGTAATGTATTCTATTTTCTGATTGTTGACAGTACTTTAGAAGTGTAACTTGCCTGATCTATAACTTTTGAAGCATCATCACTAATAATTTGAAATATCTTGCTCACCTTTTAAATTTTTTTAAAAATTTTTATTTATATTTATGTGCGTGAGTGTTTCGCCTGCATGTATATCTGTTCACTGTATGTATGCAGTGACCATGAAGGGCAGAAGAGGACATTGGATTCTCCAGAACTGGACTTCCAGACTGTTACTGAGGCACTGTGTGGGTGCTGCAAATTCAAACCAAACCTAGTCCTTCCAGAAGAGCAATCCATTCTCTTAATCACTGAGCCATGTCTCCAGCCCCTTGCTCACCTTTTAAAAACATTTATTTGTCTGTTTATTTGTTTATTTATTTATTTGGGGGGATGGGGAACTGGAGGACAGCTTGTGGAAGTTCTCCTCATCGTGTTTGTTTCAGTGACCAACCAACCAAGCAGCTGACCCACGGAGCCATCCTGCCAGTTCTTTCTCCACCTCGCTTTCACTTCTCAACCTCTAGACCCACATCTTACAGGATAAAATGGCCTGTAAGCCACATCAATCATGACCTGAGGAGAAACAAACAACGTATAATAGAAGAAGGGAACTATTAAAAAAAAAAAAAAAAGGTTGAAGTGGAAAAGAGTGATACTGTATATTATAGTGCAAATCAAGCATTACCTAAGGAAAAGACTAATAGCATACAATAAAAAGATAGCTGTATAAAAAAATGGGAAGGAGTAATGATATTACAAGCAAGAGTAACATAAAATAGTTTAGAGCAGGGGGACTGCTAATTACTCATCCCTCCCTTTTTCTCCTTTATCAAGCATTTGGTCGAGGACTATTAATTTTCCCCTTTCAATTTACTCAAACCTGTCCACTTCTCCAGATTATTTAAAGTGACACCTTTTAACTGTCCAAATTTGAGATTAGACTTCTCCATCCGAGCCTGATAAAGTGATGATGAAATGTGTTCTGCTATAGAGCACACCTTGACGTATCTGTTTGATTGGAGCAAACCGCAAATTGTTCAAATTTAAATGGCAGACAGCGTGACTAAAGTCTTAGAAGTGTGATTCTCATGGATTTGTGTCTGCCTGTCCTAGTAGCACGAGAAGACGATAGCTGTAGCTCTGAGGAAGGAGTCAAGGATACCCAATGACAGGTTCCCTGGTGGCTGGAGAGATGGCTCAACAATTGAGAGCATGTCTTGGTCACTCTTCTGTTGCAACTCTTAGAGAAGACAGCATTCAGTTGGGAGCTTGCTTACAGTTAGAGAGGGAAAGGTATAGTGATGCTATTAAACAATTACCTATTTTTCTCATGCCACATTTTTTTAAATTATTTATTTTTATTTTATGTGCATTAGTGTTTTGCCTGCATATGTCTGTGTAAGGGTGTCAGATGCCCTGGAACTGGAGTTATAGATAGTTGTAAGCTGCCTTGTAGGTGCTGGGAATTGAACAGGAATACGATACTCTAAAAGAGAAGTTAATACTCTTAGCTGGTGAGCCATCCCTCCAGCCCCTCATGCCACATTTTTACTAAAGCTGTGGGTAAGAGGGATTAAATTACCTTTGAGCAAATCTGTGTAGACATGCTTAATCTGAGACTATTCAAAGAAATATTAATTAGTAGTTTGGATATTTCTTTAAGAATTGTCTTTGGGAGGGCGGGGCTGGAACACTGGCTAGGTAGGTTTTTTTTAAGATTTTATTTATTTATTATGTGTACAACATTCTACTTCCATGTATATCTGCACACCTGAAGAGGGCAACAGATCTCATAACGGATGGTTGTGAGCCACCATGTGGTTGCTGGGAATTGAACTCAGGACCTCTGGAAGAGCAGCCGGTGCTCTTAACCTCTGAGCCATCTCTCCAGCCCCCTGGCTAAGTAGTTTAAGAGCACTTATTGCTCTTGTAGAGGACCTGGGTTCCGTTCCCATCATCCACATGGCTGCTAACATATGATTCATAACTCCAGTTCCAAGGGATCTAATACCCCCATCTGGCCTCTGTGGGCACTGGTCACATACAGTACACAAATATATACAGGCAAAATATTCATATGTAAGATATAAAAATAAACCTTTGGGGCATGGTAGCACATGCCTTTAATCCCAGTGCTCTGGAGGAAGAGGCAGGTGGATATCCGAGTTCAAGGCCAGCCTGGTCTACAAAGAGAAGTCCAGGACAGCCAGCACTACACAGAGAAACCCTGTCTTGAAAAAAGCAAATACATAAATAAGTCTTTAAACATTTTTTCCTTTCATTACTTAGAGACCATCGTATAATTTAAAGTTTTCTCCCAATCTTAATTTCAGCTCCAGTATGCTGCTCTGCTCGTTACAACCTAGCGATTTTGGCTTTCTTTGGTTTTTTCGTTCTTTATTCGTTGCGTGTGAACCTGAGTGTTGCGTTGGTGGACATGGTAGATTCAAATACTACTCTGACGGATAACAGAACTTCCAAAGAGTGTGCAGAACACTCTGCCCCCATAAAAGTACACCGAAATCACACGGTAAGCGCTATTTTTAAACAAAAATTTGATTAACACTGAAATACTTACAAGTTAAAATAATGAAAAAATATGCCTTTATCAGAAAGAAACCAAAATATTTGTTCATGTGTATTCTCCCCAGGTTAAGATGTCTTTTTTGGTGGCTGGGGAGGGTGGGGTAGTTAGTTGAACCATTAAATTATAGCTTGTGCTACCACGTACATTTGATCCCTTTGGAAATTAGTTTTTCAGTTTTCCTGAGGTGTATTTGAAGAAACCCGACTGGTACATTAGAAAATTGGATTTTTGTTTGTTTTTTTGATTTTGAGACAGGGTCTCTTTACAGAGCCTTGGCTGTTCTCGAACTCCCTATATAGCACTACGTAGACTTTTCACAGATCCCTCTGCCTCTGCCCCCTGAGTGCTGGCATTAAAGGCATGTGTCATCACAGCCCAGCCCAACCAAGCCTGCGGCTCTATTTTGAACCTTCTCAGTCAGACTTGTTACAGAGCCTCAGCAGCTCCTCTTCTAGTCTAGAGTCATAGAACAGCAAGCTTCTTGAAGTTTGTGACTTTCCGTTCTTGTCCACTCACCGCTGGAAACTGTACATTGCAGTGGCTCACCTGCCCTCTAGAAGCTTGTCCTAGTTAGGTTCCTGTTGCTGTGATGAGCACCGTAACAAAAAAAGCAGCCTGGGAAGGGAAGCATTTAATCATCTACAGCTTACAGTCGGTCATGAAGGGAAGTCAGTGTAGGAACTCAAGGCAGAAAGCTGGATGCAGGAACTGAAGCAGGAGCACTACTTGCCAGAATCCCCCATGACCTTCTCAGCTTGCTCTTTATAGCCCAGACCACCTGTCCACAGTAGCCTAGGCCCTCCCACATCAGTCATCAATCAAGAGAAGGCCACAGACTTGCCTACAGGCCAAACTGATGGCAGCATTTTCTTCATTGAGGTTCCTGCTTCCCAGATGACCCTAGCTTGTGTCAAAGTGACAAAAAAAAAAAAAAAAAAAAAAAAAAAAAAAAAAAACCACAGCTTGCATGTTCTATAGTCTAAAACAATCTAAAATTTCAAGTCGAAGGATCATTTTTCTTTCTACTCTTTTTTTTTTTTAAACAGGGTAAAAAGTACCAGTGGGATGCAGAAACTCAAGGGTGGATTCTTGGCTCCTTTTTTTACGGCTACATCATCACACAGATTCCTGGGGGTTACATTGCCAGCAGAGTCGGAGGCAAGCTGCTGCTGGGCTTTGGCATCCTGGGCACTGCTGTCTTCACTCTGTTCACACCCATGGCTGCAGACTTAGGAGTGGTGGCCCTTATCGTGCTGAGAGCACTAGAAGGACTAGGAGAGGTAAACATCTTTAGTTCTTGTTCATCTTCTTATTCTTTTGTTTGTTTGTTTTTCGAGTCAGGGTTTCTCTGTGTAACAGCTCTGGCTGTCCTGGAACTTGCTCCATAGACCAGGCTGGTCTCGATCTCACAGAGATCCGCCCCCTGCCTCTGTCTCTGCCTCCCCAGTGCTGGAATTAAAGGTGTGCGCCGCCGCCACCCCACCACCAGTTTAAAACTTTGTTAGTAATCTGCATGTCCTTATCATCCATATCCAAATAGCAGTCCTCACAGAAGTCTATTAAATAATTCCTTCCTGGTTACAAAATAAATACTATCAACCTCCCAGGTTTGTTTGTTGGTTGTTTTCTCCTTCTCCCTCTCCTCTCCTTCTCCTCCTTCTCCTCTTTCTCCTCCTCCTTCTCCTTCTCTAAGTAAAACATACTTATCTGTAGTCTGTTGCTTCTGATCCAGCTCCTGTATCTCTTTGCTCAACTAGTCTTTTAGTGTAGCTTCTTGTCTGTGGACGTTTAACCTTGTAGGCTGTTGTTTCTACTGCTGCCACAGAGGACCCTGATAGCTTTTAATAGAATTTAAATGCTGTCTGTACTTAGATTCTCTCATCTTTCACCATTCTTTCTGTACATTCCACATGCCTCATCCATAAAGCTAGGTCAGCAACTTTTTATCTTTTCTATCTGATTTTGAAGCTGCCTTGTATTTCATCAGAAATATCCACCCCCAGGGTGTTACGTTTCCGGCTATGCATGCCATGTGGTCTTCCTGGGCACCCCCTCTTGAAAGAAGCAAGCTGCTTACCATTTCCTATGCAGGTAAGATAACTCTCCTCATAAAGCATTTATCTGATGCATATGTACCAACCTTGAGAAACATATCTGCATGCCAGAATCACTCAGTGTAGATGCCTCTTCCCGGGGTAAATAACCTTTTAGGGGTATGCCTTTACTGTCAGTTTTTCTCTTTGTCTCAGAAAGAGAACAATGTGCCATGATTGACTGATACCATTTCCTCTGCCTGCTTTTATTTATCTCAAAATATGTTGTCTTTTCAAATATTGCAATTTATAAAATAGTTCAGTAGCTGGAAAAAAAATTGGTTTTGTTCCTTAATTGTGATTTTGTTACTATTGTTTGATCATTTGGTTTTGAGTCTTTTGTCCTATAGTTGGTTTATTTCTTTGGAGACAGGGTTTCACTATTTATCCTTGACTGTGTAGGCCATGCTACCCTTGATCACATAGAGATCTGCTTTCTTCTGCTTCCCAAGTCCTGAGACTAAAGGCATGCACCACCATACCCAGCAAGCTTTATTTCATTTTTAATTCCGTGTGTGTGTGTGTGTGTGTGTGTGTGTGTGTGTGTGTGTGTGTGCATGTGCACCATATGCATGCAATACATACACATGGGTATGGATACACACAAAGGCATCAGAACCCCTAGAGCTAGAGTTACAGGCAGTTGTGAGCTACCTGGTGTGGTCATTAGGAGTTTACTTCAGTTGATTTATTATTATTATTATTATTATTATTATTATTATTATTATTATTATTATTATTTTGTGCATTGGTGTTTTGCCATGGGTGTTGGGTCCCCTGGAACTGGAATTACAGCTAGTCATGAAGAGATAAACCACTCCAGAGCTAGCTTCACGGAACAGCATCTACTGTATCGCACACGAACAACCACTGCTATATTGGAAGCCTATTGACCGTGACTGGTTAACACATTGCCTCAGATGGGATAGTGAGCGCTCACACCACCAAGGTCTCTGTGCAGAAGAAGCACATTAAAGGAGATGCAGAGAGTGCAGATGGGTACTCATTGGCCATGCAATCTATCTTCCAGGCTTTATCTCTGCCCCTCTCCTTTACCAGTGAAGCTCCCAGACGCATTGTCAGCTTTCCTGTTCTCAGCCCTTCGTTCATCTATCGCCTGCCCTTATTTTCTTGGTTTTGGTTTTTGAGACAGGGTTTCTCTGTGTAACCCTGGCTGTCCTGGAACTTGTTCTGTAAACCAGGCTGGCCTCAAACTCAATAGATCCGCCTGCCTCTGCCTCCCAAGTTCTGGGACTAAAGGCGTACGCCATTGCTCCCAGCTATCTCCACTTCCTTATTGTCTTTCTTAGTTGCTCTGAGACTGAATCTCAGCCATCTTTTCAAAGTCTGGTTGCTGCTCCCTACCTCTTTCCCTCACTTCAGGGGGTCAGAAATAACTCTCATATTTGAACTCTGCGTTGCTCTGTGGCTCTTATACTTCCAAATATGGAATAGTCGTTGGTTTATATCAGTCTGCTACCGATGACCAAAACATGGGATCAGGAATAATGTCTAAGCCAGATTATGGTAACATGTGTCTATAATTCCCATACTTCAGAAGTGGAGGAAGGAAGATTAGAAGTGCAAGATCATCCTTAGCTACAAATGGATATCAGGGCTATCCTAGGCTAACTGAGACCCTGACTTTAAAAGTAAATAAATATTATCTAGCCAAGCACAGTCATTGACACCTGTAATCCCAGCACCTGGGAAGCTGAGGCAAGAGCATTTCTGTAAATTTGAGGCAAGTCAGAGCTACATAATGAGTTCAAGAGCAGCCTGGGCTACAGGGTACAATCCTGTCCCAGTTAAAAAAAAAAAAATAAGTAAAAAAATATAGACTATCATTTAGCGCCCATCACATTTAACTAAAACGTCTTCCATTTTCTGGTTAAAATGAATTTATAAAACAATTGTTTGTATATAAAATTATGAAAAGCCTCACTCTTATTTCAGCAAGCATGCCCATACCATTGGCCTGTGTCAGCCTCTCTAGGCTGGGATTGCAGCATGTACCACTATGCATGGCTCCCATACTGACTTCCTATTCATCACTATCTACATAGTTGTCACTTATATAAGTGTAAGAGTGTGTGTGTGTGTGTGTGTGTGTGTGTGTGTGTCTGTGTGTGTCTGTGTGTGTCTGTGTGTGTGTGTGTCTGTGTGTATGCTTTACATTTCCTGGAACATGATCCTGTAGGAGCGTGCTGGATTTTCTCTTCACATGAAGCTGCTTCTAATTCAGTCATTCTTTCTGTCCTGTATCCTGTTCCCCACTCTTAAACAGTAGACCTTTTGTTTGTTCACCTTACTGCAAGGCTTATAAAGTTTTCTGTGTTGACCTAGGAGCACAGCTTGGGACAGTAATCTCACTTCCTCTTTCTGGAATAATTTGCTACTATATGAATTGGACTTATGTCTTCTATCTTTTTGGTAAGTATAAATTTTTTACTAAGTGGGGGGGGGGCGGTAGGAGAGGATGGGTGGGAGAAGGGAACTGGGGAAAAAAATTTTAACTAAGTTGTCATGTAAATTCAAAATGTAATAGTAGTTGATTACATTTAAATGTGATTCTCCCCCCCAACTTCCTAACTTCAAGATTTCATAACTGAACATTGGAGTTCATAAAAATTTGTTGTTTTGAGACAGTGTTTCTCTGAGTAACAGCCCTGGCTGTCCTGGAACTAGCTCTGTAGACCAGGCTGGCCTCAGACTCAGAGCTCCACCTGCCTTCTAAGTACTGGGACTAAAGGCATGTGCCACCACACCAATCCCCAATAAATCTTGAAATGGTCCTAAATATGCTTCTGCATTTTGTATGACCCATGCACACAAAAGCAGTGTTCTCAGAATGGACCATCACAAGATCAAAGGCAAGTCAAAAAAGCCTTGAGGATGCTCTGCACACTGCAAGTGTGAAATAGGCATCCAGTATTTAACACTTTATATAATAATAAACACATCTCAGTATGTAAATTATCTTGTACCTTTCATAATTAGTAAAATTATATGAATAACAAAGAACTTAAATTTCTTTCATTATCAGTAAATATTTGATTTGTCTAATGGTTTTATATATCTTGTATACAAAGTTGTGTAAAAATTTCTCAGAAGGTTCGGGGCAGTGGTGGCTCACGCTTTTAATCCCAGCACTTGGGAGTCAGGCAGGTGGATCTCTGTGAGTTTGAGGCCAGCCTGGTCTACAAAGTTAGTTCCAGGACAGGCTCCAAAGCTACAGAAAAAAAAAAAAAAAAAAAAAAATCTCAGAAGGAAAGGGGCCATAAGTAGAAGGAGCTAACTCACTGAAGGACTCACTGCCCAAACCACAGTGTTCTAAAACACCAAAAACCTGTTTCCCGGGTTGTTACAGTTGACAGGATCTAGCCCAGTTTGACCTGTTAGCTTTGCAGTGTGCTTCTGTAGAAACTAATGTTGAGTCCTGGACTTTAGTGTCGCACTGTGAAAAGTCACTATCTGGGAGTTATGAAAATACTTTCTCAAGCAAAATAGAGTAGGGATTTAATCATTTTCCTTTCCCTTAGTGTGAAGGCATTTCATTTCTCAGATTGATTGACAGGATCATAGGAAATAGACCTTCAAAATGAATGAAAAAGACGCTGTGTGTGTGTGTGTGTGTGTGTGTGTGTGTTATAGAAATTTATTCCTGAAGATTTTTCTTCTCCAGAATGGACAATCCATTGGACAAAATATAGATTTAATATTTGAACACCAGGGCATGGGAAGAGAACCTGTTAATTGCCACATGTTTTTTTTTTCTGCTTATGAAAATGTTCTAGAATTAATTATATTAGCAAAATGAAACAAGTCTATATATATAAAAAAAATTGTTCTGAGCCAAGAATGGCAATAGTGGCACTTGAGAAACTAAGTCTGTCTGTAGCCTCTGATTGGCAGAATCTTGTGATTGAGGTATCTTAGACTGTATTTAAGACTGTGAGTGGTCATACATACCTGTCATCCCAGCGGCAGAGACAGGAGAATTACCTCAAGTTTAGCCTGGGCTTCATAGTGGATACCATGCCAGGAAGCGCTCCGTCTCAGTCATTCCCCCCAGTGCATGAAGAATAATAGTTACTATTCCATTGAAGATCTGAAGCTTGAAACTAAATCTAATTTCACATTGCATTTATAGATGCATAATCTTCTTAAAATGTGTACAAAATGCTGTTGATATATTCAAATTTAATTGTCATCTTTCTTTTTCTAAGGTATAGTTGGAATATTTTGGTTTATTTTATGGATGTGGATAGTTAGTGATACACCAGAAACTCACAAGACAATATCCTATTATGAAAAAGAATACATTGTATCATCATTAAAAAATCAGGTATGGACTTTGACATGTATTAAAAATTAAGATAACCTTTGAAATAGATCTCACTGTTGCACACACCTTAAGCAAATTAGAATGAGCAAGTGAAATAAAGGTCTAACATAAATGTCTAAAATACTGTCTGAAAAATGTCTAAAATTAGTTTCTTCTCACAGTCATTCTAGGAACTAAGGGCATAGTTCAGTAGTAGAACATAAACATCTATGAGTCCATCTGAGTCGGCAGATACAAATTGAGGACAAACAAAGAGGGTGCCTTGAATTGGGGAATTCTACCTTATGTGATGATCTAGCATACTCCCAGGCCATCCTATTTATTAAATATTAATGATTTAAATCTGGATGGTGGTGGTGCACACCTTTAATCCCAGCACTTGGGAGGCAGAGGCAGGGGTATCTCTGAGTTCAAGGCCAGCCTGGTCTACAAAGAGAGTTCCAAGACAGCTAGGACTGTTCCACAGAGAAGCCCTTTCTCAAAGAAAACAAAAAAACCAAAAAAACAAAATAAAACACACACACACACACAAATATATTAATTTAATATCTGTTTCAGAATAAAAATGAGCATAAGTGGAAATTCTCATGTCTTTTAAATTAAGATTTACTTTTATATTTTTAAATTATGTATATTCGTCTGTATGTCAATATGTGCATGAGAGTGCAATTGCTCTCAGAGACCAGAGGTGACAGGTCCCCTGGAGTTATAGAATAGTGTAAGCCACCCAGTGTGGATGCTGGAGACCAAACTCAGGTCCTCTGCAAGAGAAGTATGCAGTCTTAACTCTAAACCTTTTCCTCACCTGCTCTTCACTCGTCATTCCTGTTTTCATCCCTGAGATGGAAACATTCCCTGGGCTAGCCTCCGACTCCAAGCTCAAGTCACCCTCCAACTGACGCCTCCTAACCAGCTGAGGCTACGGGTGAGCAGCACCACACCCAGCTTGCACAGTCCTCACAAATCTTTTCAGTATAAAAACACTAGGTCATGAAATACAGATTCTAATAAGACCGTCCATCCTCTTTTCCCATGTGTCAGCCTCCAGCTGTGATAACGACAGTGTTCTCTCTCACAGAAGCATTCATTTGTGTTTGTAGCCACACTGACACCTGTAACTTCCATGAGAGTTAGAACTCTACTATATTATGTTTCCCGATAATCTCAGTCATAGATTCTCTAGTTTATATTTTTAATGAAACAACTAAAATCTGTTAATTGTTTTGCTGTTTAGCATTTCAAAGGACCTGATTGTGTGATCTAGAATGTACTACTAAAGTGGTGCTCTGGGCTGAGTTTTACCTGCTATGGTGTGTGGTTAAGTGTCAGCGCAGCTGCAGCTTCTCCTAATGTGGCTTGTCTCCTTCAGCTTTCTTCCCAGAAGGTGGTGCCATGGACGTCCATCTTGAAGTCACTGCCACTTTGGGCAATTGTCGTAGCACATTTTTCCTACAACTGGACCTTTTATACTTTACTGACTTTATTACCTACTTACATGAAAGAAATCCTGAGATTCAATGTCCAAGAGGTAAGAGAAAACAGTCATCTGCTTCCTGTGTGGAAAGCGTGTTTTCAGAACTGCCCACACAATCCCTTTCACATAAATCAAATTCGGTCATTTCCTTCTGTGCTGGCTGGCTTTTATGTCAAAACTTGACACCTGAGAGAATGCCTCCTTAAAGAGAAAGCTGTAGGCAGCCTGTGGTGCATTTTCTTAATTAGTGATTGATTGGAGAGGGCCCGCCCCTGGGCTGGTGATCCTGGGGTCTGTAAAAAAGCCATGAGGAGCGAGCCATGGGGTGCAAACCAGTAAGCAGCACCCCTCCATGGCCTCTGCATCAGCTCCTGCTTGCAGGTTCCCATCTGGTTTGAATTCCTGCCCTGGCTTCTCTCAGTGGACTGTGATTCATAATATGTAACCAAGTAAACCCTTCCTCCCCAAGTTGCTTTTGCTCATGGTGTTTCATCACAGCAATAGGAACCCTAAGACAACTATCTTTTGTATTCTGCTCTACTAAATTTATATTTCTTTCTGTCTCTCTCTGTGTGTCTGTGTGTGCTCGAGTGCATGCAGGCGTGCGTAGTTATGCAGCTGTGTAAAACGGGCCTTTTCTGGAAAGAGAGTTATTATTTTGTTTGGGTTTTTGAGACAAGGTCTTGCTGTGTAGCCCAGGCTAGCCTCAAACTCTTAAAGTAGCTTGACACTACCTGTTCTGCTCCATCCTGAGCACCGAGTTTACAGGCATGTGCCATCACACTGACACTATTTTTTGTTTCTTTGTTGATTCTGCTGTTTTTCCCTCTTTTTTTTTTTCCAGTATGTTTAAATCTTTTGTTTTGTTTTGTTTTACTGTTTTTAGTTAGACATTAAACCCAGTGCCTAAAGCATGGCAAGCATGCAGTCTGCCTTTGGGTACCCTCCAAGTCACAGCTCACGGCACCTTTTGCCTTTTGTTCCTTTGCCTATAAAAGTCCTTTTAGTGCCTAGTAGCATGCCAAGAGAACAGATGACACTCAGACACCTGACAGCGATTGATCGTAGTGGCCGGAGTAGTGAGGTCAGACTGGGAGGAACAAGGTTCTTGGGCAGAGGGTGCTGTACAGCATTCTTTATAGTCTGAAGTATACTTCATTTGTTTTTAAGATTTACTTTGTTTCCAATTATGTGTCTGGGGGGTGGGACATATGTGCTTTCTTGCAAGTGCCCTGCAGGCCAAAGATACCTAATCCCCCTGGAGCAGGACTTAAGGAGGTTGTGATCTACCCTGACATGGGTGCTGGGGACCAGACTGTAAGGGCAATACACTCTATAACCACTGAGCCATTTCTCCACAGCCCCAGGAGTAAACATGTAGAAAATGAGCCTTCCCTGAAGTTACCCTTTTCTGTGGGTTCCACAGTTAGGGAGAAACAGAGAACGTTGTCTTTGGAGAGATTGAGAAACATAAGGAAGCATAACTTATAAGGAAGTTTTGATGGTGTTTTTCCTTCAAAGTGGAGGAAAATCTAAAATCCGTAATATAAGCACAAAGATCCCAATGGAGAGAGCTTAAGAGGAGGCGGTGCTCAGCAGACAGGGGCGCTTGCAGGCAGGCCTGAGAACCCACTTCAGTCCCCAGACCACAAGGTAAGAAGGAAGTGACCGCAAAAAATTGTCGTCTGACTTCCACCTGTGCACTGCAGCATGCACACAAACACAGGTGCATACAAAATAAATTTTAAATATGGTAGTTTTGTCTTGGTTTGTGATGTGGTATGTGCCACCACTGCCTGACTATAAAAATGTTCCTTTTTAAGGGGCCAGAAAGAGCCAGATGATGGTGGCGCACACCTTTAATCCCAGCGCTCCGAAGGCAGAGGCAGGTGGATCTCTTTGAGTTAAAGGCCAGCCTGGTCTACAAAGCTAGTTCCAGGACTGCAAGAGCTGTTATATAGAGAAACCCTGTCTCAAAAAACCAAAAAAAAAAAAAGGGGGGGGGGGGGGGGTCGGGGAAGATAGCTTTACTGACAGTCTAAGTCTGATCCTTGGAAGGAGAGAACCAATCCCTGCAAATTAATCCACTAATTACTCCCTCACACACACACAGTTTAAAAATGTTAATGTAAACTGGGCGGTGGTGGCGCACACTTCAATCCCAGCACTTGGGAGGCAGAGGCAGGTGAATCTCTGTGAATTCAAGGCCAGTTTGGTCTACAAAGTGAGTTCCAGGATAGCCAAGTCAGGACTGTTACACAGAGAAAGAAAGAAAAAAAGACATGAACATTTCTTAAATAACTATGGATTCTATTCTAGTTGAGTCAGTACCAAATGACAGTGTCTAGAGACACACACACATTTGGGATGATAACTGTAGATGAATGTTTGTAACTGTGACGCCATGGTGCTGGCTTATAGGAAGAGGTAGAGTGGAGACTAGTCTGGATATGGCTTCTGGGTAGCTGGCGATGCTCTACTTAGCATGGATGACTTTCAGATCTCCAGTTTATTAAACTACGCACTTGATTTTGTAATAAAAAAAAAAGATTTTAAATAAAATGTTGGCAACTGTTCTGGAGCTGTGGTAGGTGCACACTAGGGAGGTGGAGGCAGAAGTAACAGCAGCTTGTTCTGTGGGAAGCAGTGCAGCCCCATTGGAAGACTTTCCAGATTCAAAGTAGCATCTTTGATGAGCACAACACACAGTACTGTTTCCCCATGAGACCGGCTGGTGCAGGGATGGCTAAACTAAGTCCCAAGATCCCTGCAAATGCCAGATATACTTTCTGTGATGTGTGAACGTTACTAACATTTCTCCACCGTGTGTCTGCTGTTTTTAAGTAGTCGGGGTTGACTGTGACTCGTGGGTTCTACCATAATTAATCCCGCATCTCCTTCCCCCTTCCAGAATGGGATTTTATCTGCGTTGCCTTATTTTGGCTGCTGGCTCTGCATGATTCTCTGTGGCCAAGCTGCTGACTATCTAAGGGTCAAGTGGAATTTTTCAACTATAAGTGTTCGGAGAATTTTTAGCCTTGTGGGTAAGTGAGATGAATGGAGTTTTGTTTTGTTTCCTTGTCATGTCCGTAACACACCAAAACCCTTTGCCTCTGAACACTAAGATGTGAGAGTCCCCGCACACAAGCTGTTTTTCAGCACTCAAGCTGGGGGTAAGGGCTGAGTCTCACAAGACTGCCCTCTTCCACTTTAGAGGTTAGTCACAAGAACTGCACTGTGACCAACACTTTTAACTGACTAACTATAAATTGGGGTTCAATTAATTTGCTGGACTGACTCGTAGAATTCAGGGGACAGATTCTGTTTCTATCTACTCACTCATTATAAAGGGTCCTACAAAGAACACAGATGAATAGTCAGAGAAATCCTCAGGGCAAGGTCTATAGGAAGGGCTGTGGAGCAGCCTCGCCTTTCCTTCCTATGTGCACCCCTCCCCCACCCCCAGGGCCTCCACTGGAGTCCTGTTGCTTAGAAGCTGGGCTAAACCTCATGCTTGTCCTTTGGTTTTGTTGTTAGTTGGTTATTGCTTTGTTTGTTTGCTGACACAGAATCTGACCATGTGGCCAGGCTAGTCTGGAACTCACTCAATAGCTCTGGTGGCCTGCAACTCAAAGTAGTCCTCCTGCTTCGCCATCCTGAGTGCTGGGATTACAGGCATGGTAACTGGGTTAGTAGCCTGTTTCTAAGACAGATTCTCCATGCTGAAGTATCTGGGTCTGGCTTCAAAAGTCACACCCTTCCTGCTCCAACTGTCAAGAGCTAGGATTACAGACCTAGACCACCACACCCAGCTCAAACCTTGTCCTTTTGTGTTTCTGTAGAGGTTTGATCATGTCAGCATGATTGAGTAAGTCAGTGGCCAAAAGTCTATGATTCCAGCACTTGGGAAGTAGAACCATCAGAATCAGGGGTTCAAGGTCTTCTTCTAATACATAAGGCCAGCTTGGGCTACCTGAGACCCTGCCTCAAAAAAAACTGGGCAGAATATACTGCCTAGGCCCACTGGTCCCAATGTCACCAGTCATGTTATTAGCAAACAAAAGACCATCTTAATCACTCCAGAAGTTCCAGGAACATGAGGGCTCTGTGCCCAGAACAGGAGTATAGAGCAGGAAAACATGTCTCTTCATGTCACAGTAAGCCAAAGCAGCAAAAAAGAGAATAATCCTTTACCTTGCTCACATGAAACCTGACTTTGGTTCCCACAGCCACAACTGCCTATAACTCCACCTACAGGGCATCTGCCACCTTCTTCGGGCCTCTTCAGGGACCAGAGAATACACACAGCATACACAAAAATAATGAATTTGAAGTAAATTTGGTCTCAGAATGATGGGATACACCCTTAATCCCAACGCTTGGGAGGCAGAGGCAAGCAGTTAGATCTCTGTGAGTGTGAGGCCAGCCTGGTCTACACAGTAAGTTGCAGACAAGAACTACATAGTAAGATCCAGTCTAAATAAATAGGTGTAAATTTGCAGGCTGAAGAGATGGCTCTCTTAAGAGAACTGGCTGTTCTTCCAGAGGATACTGATTCTGTTCCCGGCACCCACATGGCAGCTCACAACTCTCTGTAACTCCAGTTCCAGGGGATCCAATGCCTTCTTCTAGCCCCACAGGCATGAGATATACACACGGTGCACAGACATACGTGCAAGTAAAACACCCATACACCTAAAATAAACCTTTTTTTAAAAATTTATACTGTGAAAGGACCCATTCTGGGTAAATTCTGCAAACACCTGCTGAGCACCCACTATAGAAGATGCTCTCCTGTTCAAATCCTGCTCCGACTCCTGCTGCACATCTGTAAATGAAACCCTCCCCCACCCCCTGGACCTGCTCTGTGTCATGCATGTGCTCTTTGTTACCAATTCTTAGAAGCAAGATAGATCTTCTGACTTCAACAAAGTTTATTATTCTTCTAAAGGCTCTGTGTGTGTACATACACACATGACCTGGAGCCAAGTTACAGATGGATGTATGCCACCTAACATGAGTGCTGGGGCAAACTCAGGTCCTCCGGATGAGCAGGAAGTACTCTCAGACGCCAAACCATCTCTCTAACCCCCTGTAGAGTTTACTGTGTAATTTATCTACTTTGATTATGTGGATTTTATCCCATTCTGTATCAGCTGTTGCTTCTCCCTTCAGCCCTATTGTTCAGTCTTTCTCCCCTTGGTGGTCAGCTCTGTAGATGTAGACTGAGCCCTCATCAGGTGCAGATTGATTAGCACTGCACCGGGAGGATTTCCTTTTCTGATTGCATGAGTTGTATTCCATGTTTCCTGGCAGGGTTTCTAGTGATGAAAGTAATAAAGACCCTTCCATCTTCCAGGCAGTTCACTGTTTCTACAGTAGGTGGCAGCACTAGCCAACTCAGAGTTCTACAGTTTTAACTAGAACAAATACAATAATGGCGCTCCTTTTTCTTCTTCAACTTTGTAACTGCAGGAATGGTTGGCCCTGCAGTTTTCCTGGTCGCTGCTGGATTTATAGGATGTGACTATTCTTTGGCTGTTGCGTTCCTAACCATATCCACGACACTAGGAGGCTTTGCCTCTTCTGGATTTAGCATCAACCATCTGGATATAGCTCCTTCGTGAGTACAAACACAAAGGTTTGCTGGGTTGTCACTAATTTGCTTCCTTACTATCATAGTAAAACATAGATAACATAAAACTTGCCATTTTAGCCATTCTTGAGTGCAGTTCTGTGGCCTGAGGGACCTTCCACTGCTGTGCAGCCATCACCAGCCCTGTCTCTCAATTTTCACATCTTCTGTGTCCATTTAGTGAACACTAATGACACATCTCCCCCTTCCCGAAGCCACCACTCTTATTTCTACTTTCCATGAATTGACTACTAGAGGAATGACTTTACTTTTTTTTTTTTCCTGCTAGATTTACACAACTGGTAAATGTTTAAGCCTCAAACTGCCTCCACCTCCAGCATGCTGCTCTGCACACTGCAGTGACAGTGTGACTTGAGTCCATGAGGGTAGAATGAGAGCTCTATGAAGGCCCATCCTCAGGAACTACCATGGTGCTGGACACATAGGCAACTTTGATTGGGCAGATGAATGCCAAAGCCCTCTTTGTCAAAAACAAAGCTGAGAGTTTAGCTCAGTAGGTAGAATGCTTGCCTAGCATCACGAAGCTATAGGTTCTGTCTCCAGCATGCATAAACTGAGCACTGTGGCACATACCTGCCTGTAGTCCCAGAACTTGGATGATGAACAAGAAAATCAGGGCCAGTCTAGGACACAAGAGATTATGTTCTTAATAAACAAATAAATAAAATGGGGCCAGAAGGATGGCTTAGAGGCTTAGACAGCAAGACGTTTGCCAACAAGATTGATAACCTTGAGTCCAAATTCTGGAACTCACATAAAGATAGAAGGAAACAACCAACTCCCCAAAATTGCTCTCTGACTTCTACATGTGTTCTGTGTGTGTGTGTGTGTGTGTGTGTGTGTGTGTGTGTGTGTGTGTGTTAGGAAGTGGAGGCAAGAGGAACAAGACTTCAGGTTCAGCCTTGGCTGTAGTTCAGTGCCAACCTGACCCATGTGAGACCCTGTCTCCAAAAACAAAACAAACAAACAAAAATTACAAGGAGTAGAGCCACTGACTTGCCCTGTTCACATTAAGAGCATTATGTTCGTGTAAACACAGGTGTCTAACACTTGGTTGCTTACTAATCGCTTACACAAACATCATCTTGTTTGTCCTAAAAGCTGTCCAGTGAGGTAGGTGGTTACTCTTGACTTACTCTATAGAAACTCAGACTAAGGGAAATTAAGGGCCTTATCTTATGCCACACAGCTAACAAAGGCTAAATCCATAATCTAAACCCAAAATTCTTTCTTTAAGCCCAAAATTGCTTTTCCAATTTCTCTGGAAATATTTGTTTAGCCACAGAGTTCTAAATCCCAGCTGAGAAGGTGAAGAAAGGGACTAGATTGAGTACTTTACCCCCAGAAGATTTGGGGTACTTGGTTTATTAAAAGTAATGGCTGTTTATTTGTTTTTAGACAAGTGGGCATTCTTTTATCCTCTTGGAACTACCCCAGATCACACCTAGATAGATGTCAGAGCCTCCAATCCCTATGACTCTGCCCTGCTCTGCCCCATTCAGTGAACACCAAGAAAATCCCTTGTCCGTAGCTCTCAGCCCCTGAGCAAACCTCACAGGTGTTGTGACTCACTCTTGTAATCCCAGCCTTAGGAAGACTGGAGCAGGAGTATCACAGCAAGTTCAAAGCCAGCCTGGGCTACATATTGAGGCTCTGTTTCAAAATTTTTATAGTAAGAACCTGAGGGAACCTTTGAAGTTATTTTAATCTGCTCTGTTATAAAAAAAAATTGGGGGGTTCTAGAGAGATGGCTCAGAGGTTAAGAGCACTGACTGCTCTTCCAGAGGTCCTGAGTTCAATTCCCAGCAACCACATGGTGGCTCACAGCCATCCGTTATGAGATCTGGTGTCCTCTTCTGGTGTGCAGATATACATGGAAGCAGAATGTTGTATAAATAAATAAATAAATAAAATAATAAATAAATAAATAAAAATTATTTTCCTGCTAACACATCCCAAAGTGTTCAATATCTGGCCCTAGTCATTTTGCTTATTTATAGTATTTTTGGGACTTGTGTTTCATATAATAAATAAATAAATAAATAAATAAAATCTTTTAAAAAATAATTATATGAAATGATAAAAATTTAAAAAAAAATTTTTTTCAATCCAAGGAAGTCAGAATTAGAACTTAGCCTTGGAGCTCAACTGGTAGAACACTTACCCATATGTATGAGGTACTGAGATCAATTCCCAACAATGAAAAAGAGTAAAATTTAATCTCCGCAATAAGGGGTAAACGCCTTCAGAGTGGACAGTCTCAGAGCTCCATGTATGACCTCTCCTGGCAGACACAGATCACCAGCGGGATATTGTGGCTCACACCTAACTGCATTTTTAGTCACAAAAGTAAATGCTTGATGTTGGAAGAATTTGCAGTATGCTACTAGCAACTTTAACAGTAAAATATAAAGAAAAGAATTCAGTGAACTTTTCAAACTAGGAAATGTTTGTTAGATGTACATATTGGTGAGGTATGAACTAAAGGAGTTTAATACTGAAAGAAAGGATAGTTGTAAAAACTAATTGCAGGCTGGCAGTGGTGGCACCGGCCTTTAATCCCAGCACTAGGGAAGCAGAGGCACAGGGAGCTCTGTGAGTTCAAGGCCAGCCTGGTCTACAAATTGAGTTCCAGGGCAGCCAGAGCTGTTACACAGAGAAACCTTGTCCTGAAAAAACAAACAAACAAACAAAAAAGCTAATTGCAAGAAGACTTGGTTGAATTTAGTGACAGTTTGAAAGATATAATTGTAAAAATAAGGAACACTTCAAGTTGAAAGAGTCAAGGCACTGGCAGCTGTGCCTTTGAGAAGGGGACAGAGAGATGTCCATTTTATTAACAAAGAGCTTCATAGTGACTGTTGCATCCTTGGCTACATACCTAGTGAGTTCGAGGATCACCTAGGCCACATGAGATTCTGTCTCAAAAAACAACAATAGCAAAATGACAAAGAGTAGAGCTATTTATTTTTGTAGTTGTCAGTTGTCAAACTAGCCGTGTATAAACACAATTGTCTAATATTTGATATCTTACTGGTCACATTATCCTGTTTGCCCTAAGGAGGTGGGTAGGTGTTCTTGACCCATTTCAAGGCTGAGGAAACTTGAACATTTAGAGTAGGAACCAAGCCTCATTACCCAAAACAGACTCAAGAAGATAGACAAAAATTTTTAAATTTCGGGTCTGGGCCATGGCTCAGTGGTAGAGAACTCACCTAGTATGAGCAAAGCCATGGGTCCAGCCTCTAGCACTGCAAACAATAAAGACAGGAAATACATTGATTAATGCTGTTCATTAAAAAAGGAATCTGGAAAACATTACAGTAGAAGCACATTATCAACTCTGTAATTTACAGGAGCATAGGGTTGGAAGGTGGAAGGGTTTTGAGGAATCTGCTCTACAGAACAGGGGCATCAGCTGAGAGCTGATGGAAATGTGAAATCCTGGGCTCACCACAGACCTGCTAACAAGGATCGACTCTCATCCTCATGATAGCACAGCAAATGCTCTTCACCACTGAGAGACTTCTCTCCTCAGCCTTCACATAGTTGATCTTACTGTTAGATACGATATGTGAAGGACTTAGAAACCATTCCTCATAGATTTCCCAACGGACCAGTCAATATTCCTATTAACATAGAGGGTATTCACGGTATATTCCAAGCCGTTCCATAATCCTGCTTGCTGGGATTATGCTATGGGTGAAACCATGAGTTGTCTATGGTTAGTTTTGTTGCCTGCAACCTGGATAGATTTTCAGTTATGTCAACAGGCATCTCACATTTCAGTACCAGAGAATACTGACTGAATCTGTGCAGTGTGTTTTCCCATCTGCAGACATCAGTCTTCTCTGACACTTCCTGGCCAAGGATAACATAAATAGTTGAATGGGCTTCTCGGTGCTGACATTTAGTATTTCACAGGACTCAGGATCAGATCTGTCAGTGAAAGGGCCTGGCAACATTGCAGGTTCCTCCTCTTGCCAAGGTGCTAATGGTTTAAAGAGGGGGGTGGAGGGGAGAGCTTGGTTAATTTAAGATGTACTCCCTGAGGGCAATGAGCCAAAAAGATCTTAGTTTAGTTATTGTATGGTTTGTGTATGGACTTAAAGCATAAAAATATGGGTGTTTGTAGATAACTGAGTTAGGCACAACAGAATTATTATTGCTATTTTTTTAGGAGTCATTCCATTTAAAGTGAGAAAGCAGCCAGCCTGGTCTACAATCCTATCTCAAAATAGAAAAAAAAAAAAAGAGAGAGAGAAAGCAGCTGGGCAGTGGTAGCCCAGGCCTTTATTCCCAGCACTAGGGAGGCAGAGGCAGACAGATCTTTGTTCAAAGAGGCCAGCCTGGTCTACAGAGTGAGTTCCAGGACAGCCAGGGCTACACAGAGAAACCCTGTCACCCTGTCTTAGGAGAGAGAGAGAGAGAGAGAGAGAGAGAGAGAGAGTTTATGTTTTCAAGATGAGGGCTACAGGAATGGCCCAGCAGCTAAGAACAAGTACTACTCTTGTGGGTGACCAATGTTCAGTTCCACATCAGGTGGTATAAACATTGATAAGAATACCTGATTCTCCAAGATTTACCCTTAAAATAAATCACTGCATTTGAGAAACGTGTCCCAAACTTACTTAAAAAATTCTTTCCGCTGGGCATTGGTGGCGAACGCCTTTAATCCCAGCACTTGGGAGGTAGAGGTAGGTGGATCTCTGTGAGTTCGAGGCCAGCCTGATCTACAAGAGCTAGTAGTTCCAGGACAGATTCCAAAGCCACAGAGAAACCCTGTCTCGAAAAACCAAAAAAAAAAAAAAAAAAAAAATCTTTCCATCACATGCACAAAGTAGACCTAACCTGTCTTCTAGTACATGTGTCAGCAAATTAGTGAAACAAGTGAATGGTGAAATTATATGTTTAATATGATCTCATGGCTAATTATATACTTGGAAATATAAGCATATACAAACAGTAGTGAGTATATTTACCAAGGTGCTAATGAGATGATTATTTCTATATGAAAGAATTATAGACTTTTACATTCTTAATTATTTTTTCTTGTCTATGTAGTTTTCAAATTTTTTAGTTCAGGGAGCTGTAAAATAGTTCTGTGGGTAAATAAGCTTTGCCACTAATTTGTTCCCTGAAACACATGTGGTGGAAAGAGAGATCCAAGTCCCAAAAGTTGTCTGACCCCTGCTAGCATTCTATGGCACACACACAAACACACACAAAAAATAAAAATACGTAAATTTTTAAAAATTCTTATTCAGCTTCATAACCAGGAAATAGCTGCTTTTAGATGCTAGAGATTGAAATCCAGGACCACAAGCATATTGGACAAGGGCTCTGCTACCAAACTACACCCCAACCTGTGATTTGTTTGTTTGTATGTTTGTTTGTTTTAAAGCAGGATCTTAGGTAACACAGGCTAACCTCAAACTTGGTATGTAGTCATGGTTTGCCTTAAACTTTTTTGCTTGGTTTGGTTTTTGAGACAGGGTTTCTCAGTGTAGCCCTGGCTGTCCTGGAACTCACTCTGTAGACCAGGCTGGCCTCAAGCTCACAGAGATCCACCTGCCTCTGCCTCCCTAGTGCTGGGATTAAAGGCGTGTGCCACCACCGGCCAGCTTTTGCCTTAAATTCTTAATCCTCCTGATCTTCCTTTCTCCGACTCCCTAAAGCTGTGGTTAACGGCGTGCCCCACCATGCCCCAATACAGTTGTTTCCACTTTTAAGCCCCTGATAGATACAGATATACAAGATATACAGAAGTTCCCTGACAAATTGTATCATCAGCCTTGTTACTCTCTGTGGTGTTTTATGGGCCTTTGTGGTCATTTATTTTTACTGCCAGCCTCTGCTACTGACCTATCGCTCTAGACTGAACTGACCCACCTGTCTCTAAGGTTGATTTCTTTGCCCCCTGGACCTTAATAGAACTGCATGCAAGGCTTTTGCAAAATATAAAATCTTGGTTCAGTAAGTCATGGAGACAGAATGTCTCAACACAGCCTGGGAATGGAGGAGCTGTCTGTGAAGGGAGCTGACCCAGGCCTCTGTGAAACTCTCTCTCTCCAGATATGCCGGTATCCTCCTGGGCATCACAAACACATTTGCCACCATTCCTGGAATGATTGGGCCCATCATTGCTAAAAGCCTGACCCCTGATGTAAGTAGAAAATTTCCTTGTGAACTAAAAAGATTTAGGAGTTAGTGTTTTTTTGTTTGTTTGTTTGTTTGTTTGTTTTGTTTTGTTTTGTGTTTTCGAGACAGGGTTTCTCCGGGGCTTTGGAGGCTGTCCTGGAACTAACTCTTGTAGACCAGGCTGAAACTATTTTTTTTTTTAATGTATATATGGGTGTTTTACCTGAATGTTGTCTATGTACCCTGTGCATACAGTACCCAAGGAAGCCAGAAGAGGAAGGGCACTGGGTTCTATGGCCCTGTAGTTACAGGAGATGGTTAGGCATATGAGTGCTGTTTTTAGTCACTATGTGGGTGCTGGAAACCAAACTCAGGTCCTCTACAAGAGCAGCAAGTGTGCTTAACCACTGAGCCAACTCTCCAACCTTTAATGAAATTATTTGTGCTAAAAATACAAAATAAGCCGGGCGTTGGTGGCACACGCCTTTAATCCCAGCACTCGGGAGGCAAAGGCAGGCGGATCTCTGAGTTCAAGGCCAGGCTGGTCTCCAGAGCAAGTGCCAGGATAGGCTCCAAAGCTACACAGAGAAACCCTGTCTCGAAACCCCCCCCCCCTCAAAAAAAAAGTACAAAATAAAGCCTGGAGTTGGTGGTGAATGCCTTTAATCCCAGCATTCAGGAGGCAGGGGCAGATGGATCTCTGTGAGTTCCAGGCCAGCCTGGTCTACACGAGCTAGTTCCAGGACAGCCTTGAAAGCCACAGAGAAACCCTGTCTCAAAAAAGCAAAACAATACAAAATAAAATGAAGTTGTATTGAAAGCCGCTGCTTATTGGGTAGGGATTGGGTTAGTGATTGGGAAAATCACACTCGTTAGTGTTACACCCTATCCTTTGTGTGCCATGAGGAAGGAGAGAAACAAAACTTACGGGTTTCACAGCTTTTAATAATTCACGACATAGGGAGTCGCTGATCAGTCGGAGCCGCAGGACAGAAGTGGGGTTTGTAAGTACAAAAACCACAAGCATTTGTTGCCAAGTTACAGTTACAGTTTTCACCAATCAGGAGTCAAAGATTAGGGACTTTCCTTGTGCATTCCATCATTGTCAACCGACACAAAGGTAAGTCTTTTAGCACAACCAACAAGATTCATTTGTTCTTTCTGTTGGTAGGAACAGCCAAAATGTCTTAGAGAACTAAGGGGCATAACAGTTTCTATTGTCTAAAGAGGAGATGGGTCAGCCATTGGAAGGTTCCCAGCTCCCCTATGGCCTGGGAACTTGAACTGTGTTTCACCCTAGAGGTAAAACGGAGTCTGAAGTCAAAATGGCAGTATTTAGGCTAAGGTGCTTTTGCATCTTCCCTTCATTAGTAGATGGGAAGGCATACTGATGCCAGGCTGGAGGTGTGCCTCAGTTAGTAGACTGCTTTCCTGGAATGCATGAAGCCCTGGGTTTCATTCCCGACATAAAGCTGGGTATAATGGAGCACACCCATAATCCCAGCACAACTAAAAAAAAGTATACTGTTTCCATAGAGCACTCTTTGGGGGTTAGGCTGATTAACAGAATTACATGAAGATCTTTAGCCCAGAAGTCAGTATGTTTGCCAGGTGGCTAAGGAAACAATGCTGAAAGATGATCAGGAATTGAGCTCCATAGCAAGACAGGACCAGCCTGGGCCACGTGTGACCATCCCCAAAGCAGATAAATAAACGGATCAGCCAGGCACAGTTCCATGTGCCACTAACCAGCACTCAGGAAGCAAGGGCAGGAGGATTGCCTCTAGCTTGAGACCAACTAGGGCAACATAATGAAAACTTGTCTCAGAGAAAGGAGAGAGAGAGGAAGGGAGGGAGGGAGGGAGAGGGGACAGGAGAGAACTTAGTTCTATAAAGACAAGTTACAGGAGACATTAGGAAAATTCATAAATCCTAATGATAAAACTGAATACATATTCAAAAATAGATATATTTGAGCTGCTGTTACCCACATAGCAGAACACTGCCCCTCAACAAGGTAGGACTCCTTCCTGCCATTCCTCCCTCACCACCAAGAGCAACAGGCATGGGCTTTGAGCTTTTTGTAGAAACAGTCATCAGTCTGCACTGTCGGTCTTTGATGCTTATGTCTATATTGGTCCAACTGGTTCATCCTCACTGTCATTTGATACTGTACTAAAGAATGCTCCACAGTCCTGCTGCCGCTGCGTATTCTGTCTGTTCCAAGCACAGACTTTTATGAATGACATTTCTGTTCTCACAGCCTTGCAATACCAACCTTTTTTTTTACAAACAAATTTTCCCATTGCATTTTCCTTCCTTGTCCAGAACACTATCAGAGAATGGCAGACTGTGTTCTGTATCGCTGCTGCTATTAACATGTTTGGTGCCATTGTCTTCATCCTGTTTGCCAAAGGGGAGGTGCAGAATTGGGCTCTCAGTGACCACCACGGACACAGAAACTGAAGACAATGACAAATAATAATTAATGTATTTTATTTATCATGTAAACTGAAAGTGCCTTTGGTATTTTAATGTGTAAACATTCTATGTGAGAAAAATAGTACATTTTAAAGGTAATCATGAAATGTTACTAGATGCAAGACTATTTAAAATGAGCTGATTTTAATTAATAATAATAATAATAAATAATTAAATATCTGCCAGACCTTATACCGGGTTCACATACCGAGCTGCAAATCAGGCAGCATGATATAAGGGAGGGCTTACTACTGGCCCGTGGTGGTGCACACCTTTAATCCCGGCACTAGGGAGGCAAAGGCAGGTGGATCTCTGAATTCAAGGCCAGCTTGGAGAACAGAGCAAGTTCCAAACAGCCTGGGCTGCACAGAGAAACTCTATCTGGGGAAAAAACAAACAAACAAAACAAAGACAGTAGTTCTCAACCTGTGGCTCATAACCCCTTTATGGGTCAAATGACCCTTTCACAGGGGTCACCTAAGGCTATCGGAAAACACAAATATTTACAATTCATAACAGTAGCAAAATTACAGTTATGAAGTAGCAGTGTAATAATTTTATGGTTGGGGATCACCACAACATGAACTGTATTGAAGGGTCACAGCATTAGGACGTTGAGAACCACTGGTTTAAGAAATCAAGCTGAAATGGGCCCTCCCTCATTAGTTAGTACTTGTCTAATTAGATTAGATAAATCATCTCATATCTTGTTAAATACCTGTTTTTGTCTACTTCCCTCATAAAAATTGTTGCGAACTCTCCCTAACATAGATCTCAGAAACATCGCCATAAAGCCACCAGCCACCTTGGCATGGCAGCTGGACTGAGGGATCTGTGCCAGACAGCTGCCAGGAATTCCTTCCCTGGCTTCAGGGCTGGAGTGCCCAGCAGTTATCAGAGGTGGCTTCCAAGTGCAGGGCTAATGCCAAGTGTTTGGCTGACACTCTTTCCCTGTGGCTGTTAATGTGTAGATAAAGCCCTAAGTAGACCAGAGCAGTGGGATCCACAGCTACTGTCTTGACACTGCCAGCCTGCCCTTGGCAGCACCCAGGCCTGATTACTGGCAGGTGGCCTACAAAGCAAAAGTGTGATGCCCAGTCAATTGCAGAGAACATCCTTGATTAAAATGACTTGCACATTAATCAGTGTAAATTTTTACGTTCAGTTTTTCTAGCTACATGGGATTTTTTTTAATGTTTGAAATTTTTCTTCAGTATCTCTCAATTTATGCTTCTGGTTACAGTTTAAAGTGACTTTCAGGGCCAGGGGTTTGGCTCAATGGTAGAGCACTTACCTGGGACCATGTTCCATCCAAAGGCAAAATAAAGCCAAAGGTTCAGCACCAGGAGCTGGAGAATCACATTCACCATGCTTCCCGAAGCCAGCTTACGGCAACTGCAGCTGAGCAGTGCTGGCTGGTTGTGGGGCATGCATACTGTAAGAGTACCTAAGGCCTGAAAGCCTGCTTTGTGTTCTGTTGTGTCTGTTCCAGCGCTTACCTGTAACAGTTTAATTAGCACTTGGTTGATATAATACGCTGTAAATACGTTTATATAAATTTATTTTTAAATTTGTAAATACAGGTTAAGTTGCCATGTGACATTTCTTTTATAAATCACCAAAATAAACCCTTTTGCATTAACTCTTGGTGTCTTTAAGTTATTTACCTTATATGTATGGTATGTGTGTTTTGTGTGCACTACCTTCATACTTTGCTTCCCAAAATGCTTGGTAGTTTTCTTCATCAGCTGCCCTAGAATGGAGTTATAGTTGGGCTGCCTTGTGGGTGCTGGGAATTAAATCCAGCTCCCTCTGCATTAATTTTTGTTATCTGACTGTTCTGTCCACAATGACAGTTTGACATCTTTTCTGCATCCCCCTGAAACCATCCTTCCAGCTATAACTGATCTCCGTCACCACCAGGTGGGAAATGAGACAGCATCAGAAATCTCCACCCACTGGAGATGTAGCACACAGGGCACTTTCAGAACACATGTGAGGACCAGGGTTCATCTAGAAAACTGGGAAAAAGAAATGTCTGTTGCCATCTGCCTGCCCTTCCTAGTTGTGGAAATGGTACAATCTTCTTTCTTAAGAACTCGCCACCAGCCAGGCTTGGTGGCTGATGCCTTTAATCTCAGCACTTGGGAGTCAATGGCAGGCAGATCTCTGAGTTTGAAGCCAGCCTGGTCTTGTAAGACCACCGGAAGCTCAAGCCTCCAGGATCTCAGCCCAGGACCGCTGTCACCCCAATCACCAGGCAGAGTTGAAAGCTTGATGCAAACTGCCCAAGGCTTTATTATAGTTATTTAATGAGCTAACCCCATGTTAGCTCGGGCCTTTCATCCCCCCGCCATGGCGGATGGCTAGGAAAGACAGCTCAAAGCGTCTGCATAGAGATCTTATAGGGCAGTGTAAGAGGAGTGTCCAGGGGTACGCACAGGCTCAGGATTGGTGTGGCTCCAGGCTTGGAGGGTTTGCCCTGTGTTGATTGGTCAACTGGTTGTTATGGCCCATAAGCTCTCCCAGGGTGGTTCCTGTGCTCTGCGCGTCATTGCTGTGCACTTGTCCGTAAAGCACACCCAGAGCCGTAAAGCATAGCACCACCAGCTAACTTCTGATTGGTTCCTTGTCACGAGGCTGGCATCTGACCTCCTAGTGACTAAGGCAAGGTCAGACAAGCACGTGTTCGGCTGTTATGGCTGCTGAAATGGGGAGCTGGTCCCTTTTGTCTAGAGAGTGAATTTTAGGACAGCCAGAGCTACACAGAGAAATCCTGTCTGGAAAAAAATAAGTCTATGGAGTTGCCGGCTGGCCTCAAATGCCAGGCTTATGAAAGAAACTAGACAAACGCTGAAGTCTGCAGCTATTTAGCCCTTGTGTCTTTCTCCAGACTTCGGCCAGCTATTGAATTTAGCACTTGATACAAAGCAGATTCCCTGACTTGTATTAGAGCCACATCCCCCCATTAGAAATACAATTCCCCCAAACAGAAAAAAGCTGATGTCAAATTTAAGTTTGAGCCAGGTGTGAAGACTGATAGTGGCCTGTATTGCCAGCAGTTGGGAGTCAAATAATCTCAGATAATCAGTTCAAACATCATCCTTGGCTACACATCCAGTTTGAAGCCAGCCTGGGCTACATGAGACCCTGTTTGAGAAGATAAAAACTGAATAAATCTCATTGCAGGAAGAACTGGGAAGCAGCAGAAACACATCACGGCCTCACAAGAGCAGTACAAATGCGTCACTTCTGCTGAAGAATTAAACTTTTACAGACATGTAAATCTAGATGCCTCTGCATCTCAGAGCAGCCTCGGGCTGTACTGCCAGCTGTTAAGTTTTCCCTCTAAAGCAAAACACAGCAGGTATTTCCAGACTCTTCAACAGAGAGCAAGATGAAATGATGTGAAAGACGGTAACTTCCCCACCTTGAAGAAACACTGGTGATTTTCCAGGTGTCTGTTTGAGTCTATAGGGAGGCTGAGAAAGAGGAAACAGGTTCCACCGCACCCACCATCAGCCCCAGTGCTGCAGAACCCGTGGTTGCATCAGTGTCTAAACCTACCCCACCCCCGCCCCAGGGCAGAGACTACCCTCTGAGCCCTGGAGATAGGGGGAGACGTTAATTAATAACCAGGTACAGTCAGAATTACATTTTTAGACTGAAAAGCTGAAACATCCTAGCATTTTCAAGTATGGGCGCTGTCAGGATCACGCCTGTGTATTAGCCTTTTGCTCTCAGCTCGCTATAATCCTAGTCTAAAGCATTTTATAATTTCACTCAGCAATCTGAAAAATGAATTTTAGTTACATTGAGGTCGATAGCAAATCTAAATATGATAGTGGGGTCTTTTTAGTGTTAAAGAACTCGTTTGTGTGGTGGCTGTGATGGAGACATGACATTTTAAACTTCCCAAAAGCTCATAATATGACTATCTAGCCAGCAACTCTGAGAGTAAAGACATACCATTACTTATTTCCCTAAAAGTCAATCCAGGAGAGCAGGGGGGTGGTGATGCATATCTGTCACCCACAGTCAGACTCAGGAGTGTCAGGAGTTCCAAAACATCCTCAGCTACTTGGTGAGTTCGAGGCTATTGGGGGAGACTGTCACTTAGGGAACTACTCCTTAGGAAAGCTGGCTGTTCTAGAGAATTTGATCAGTACTGTGAAATCTCCCGGAGCAGGTCTCTCTGGCCACTGGTCACTTACATGGCATTCCAGTGTTCCCCTCTGCAGTGGCTCTTCTGACCACTAACCGCAGTTGCCTTTCACGGTGCTTTCCCAGCCTGTAATCAGCACCGCCTTTTTTCTACTCAGTGTGTCACATCTGGCTTCTTTCAACACAGATCACAAGTGCCGGGGAAGGTAAAGGAGAGCCACTCGAGAGATCCCTTCACCCAAAGATTCCACTGAGTTAATGGGTAACAGACTAGAAGAGAGCTTGCAACTTCTTATCAGTATGGGAGGTCAATATCTAACCCATTTAAAGAGTTCCTAGCTCGACAAAAAAAAAGAAATACCAATTAAGTTATGGGTGGCAGTGTCACCTGCGGTCCTAACAATAGAGAAGGGAGATGGGAGAGCCAGAGGGTTCCAGTCATTCTGGCTACACAACGAGCTAGCTAGGGATACCTGAGAGAGACCCAGTGTCAGAAACACAAACAGAAAAGGGAAAACGAAGGAGCAGTAAAAAGACAATTCACTTAGTAGCAGACCAAATGTCAGAAAAGCATACAAAGGGATGGGCAACATCCCCAGGGACCAGAGAAAAATGAAAGAGTAGGGGAAGCGCACACTAATGTCACAGTGAGGTAGCACCTTAGACTCCCCAGGGCAACAAAGGCTGAAAAGTTTGGTGCTACTGACTCAGCAGTAGTTCACTGCCTCATATGAGTGGGATCCAGATTCAACCCTGGCACAACATAAAAAAAGGAAGGGAAGTTTGGAATATGGAAGTGTTGTTAAAGAGTGTTCAGAGATGAACCTTCCTGTTCACGAGGGGAAAGGGGAAGCTAGAGATTAGCAGATATCCTAGAAAGTTAAAGATTTGGGTTTTGTTTGTTTGGTTGGTTTTTGGTTTTTCGAGGCAGGGTTTCTCTGTGTAGCTTTGGAGCCTATCCTGGTTCTCACTCTGGAGACCAGGCTGGCCTCGAACTCACAGAGATCCGCCTGCCTAAGAAATAATGT